AACGTTTTTGGGGGGGCAAGTGAAAAATGTATTTCCTCTTTTGCTTGATATCTGATAAAGAACCTGGGAAAGGATTCCTAAGACTTGAATAGCAGTGATTACCTAGGTTTGTATGGCAGGTGAGGCTGCGGAAAGGTCGGAACTGGTCAGCTGAGGACAGGGATGGGAGTGACACTTTCACTCTATACATTTTTTTATATTTTTAAAGTTTTAGGCCATATGAATGTGTTGTCTGTTCAAAAATTACATAATAGAATAACAATCCACTTGAAAACTAGTTAAAAATGCTGAGCTTCATGAGTCAGAACTCCAGGGGTTCAGAACCTGCATTTTTAGCTAGTTCCCCCCTGTAGATTCTGATGTAAGTGGTGAGTGAAATATACTTAAAAAAACACTGGGCTAAACACTTTGCAGAACAGGAAGGACAGCAAAGATGCCTGCAGTGTAAGTAAGGGCCTTCTCGTTAAGGATTTCTCTACCAAGCAGGCCCACATCACGATGAAATTCTAAGACTTCCAGATCCATACCTTACCTTTCTACTTTCCTACATCTTCCAGTGACGTGACCAAGCCTTCTTTGGGAAATCCTGATATTTCTTGACAGCGGAGAATATCAGGTCTCTGGCACTTTTGTTTGTGTGGCTTTTCTCTTTCAGGCTGGCAGGACTTGCTCATCTGGAGGAATAAGGGTTGTTGGTAAAGAGAAAATCCCCTCCAAAAGATGAGATCAAAGCGTGATTTCACTTGCCCTGCCCTTCTGCTGCCAGCAGCAGTAGGGCAACCCCTGCCTCCTAGTGAGGAGACCTGCTTGTGGATTTTGAGTCAGGGTGTGGGCAATACGTAGATTTTGCCTGGAATTGATTTACACTGATACTTTGAGCCAAATCGATGTGCTTTTAAAAATAATATTAAGCAACATTTATTGCTCGTGTGTGTTAAGCACTTGCCATGTTATCTTATTGAGTTTTTCAACCTTGCTCTATTTCACAGATATGGAAGCCAAGGCTGGAGTAAGTGAAGTGAGTAGCCACAGGCTACACAGCTAATAGGCAGCACGGTTGAGATGTACATTCAGGCAGTCTGCTGCTAGAGTGTGCTCCTAACCACTTGACTATACTGCCCCTCTTTGCTGGTGGGAGGAGGGTCATCCCTACTCAAAGACAAGGCTCAGTCACCCAATAAGAAGTTTCTGCAACTCTGTCCCAAGAGCTCAGGGAATGTCCATAGGCTGCCTTTGACTCCCAGTCCAGATCCCTCTTGCGCTGGTCTGCCGTGCCTGGTTTTCTCACTAACGTTGAAGAGCCCAGATTCTCTCCCTTTGGTCTGCCCGTGGGATTGGCACTTCAGCTGGACTGTCTGATGGGATTTAACGTTCAGCTTTTCCCTTGATCACTGGCTTTCAGATCACCTTTGGCTCCAAGCTCTGATGCCCCCAGGCGGGTCTAACCTGAAGCTCAACACTGGTTCCCAGCCCAGGCCCCCAGCATGAATGTAGAATCCTGGCATCCTGCTTGTCCTACCAGGAAGAGAAGAACAGACTTTCTTGGTCTCTCTCAGACTGTTCTATCTTAACTAGCTGCTTCTGCTGAGCCCTCACCCTCAGTCACATGCAGCAAGGTCTCCCAAGCCTTGTCAACAAGTTGACTTCCTCCAGCAAACCACAAAGTCAAGCCACCGGCAATGACTTATTGGTGGCCCAGCATTGTACCTTAGAGCTATAATTTCATTTGAGGGCATTTGCTGCCCCTTCCTACTAACAACTGGCATACAGCCCAGGCAGTGCGGAGACAGGAAGAGGAAATAGCATCTCATACAACAACCATATAGTTCATGCACTTCTTGTTTTCTCAGGATTGGGGACGAATTTGCACCAAACCAATCATTTGTTATCGCCTTGTTCTAGGGTGGGGTGCATTTGAAGATAGTTGGCTACAGTGGGGGAGAGGTGGAGTGTTTGGACACGTGATAGAGTAAAACAAACTGGTTCAGCCTCAGGGTGCTCTGAAAGCTTTAATCAATGGTGTTAACCAGTCCCCGGTAGGGTGACAATAACTATACCAGCTCACTTTTGGAGAATGCGTGCTTGGTTCTGTTAGCCATGGTGAGAGCCGAATGATGCTGTGCTAATTTGTCCTTTTTAGCATGTCCTTGTCATCAACCAAGTCCTAGGGGCTACGTGGAGTAAGACCACTTTATCTCCTTTTGCTGCTTTGACCGCATCCTTCCCCTTCTCAAAACCATTCAGCAGTTCTCTCATCGGAACACCAGAAAAACTAGATCCCACCCATGGTCCATTAACACGGCGTAGATAGCCTGGGTTTGGGAGCCTGAAAGCCTGAGTTTTGAATCCTAGCCCGGCTACCTACAACCTGTTTAATTTGGGGCAAGATACTGAACCTCTCTGGTTCCCAGTGTTTTCCTTTGTAAAATGAGAATAAGAATGCCTCCTATCTTACCGGGTTGTTATGAGGAATAAATGAGTTAATATTCGTAAAGTGCTTGGAACGGTGTCTGACTATAGTAAATGCCATGTAAACGTTTGTTAAATAAATAAATAATAAGTATATCCATCCATTAAACAGATATCTGTCGAGTATCCACGAGCTAGCCGGGGATTGGCAAATTTTGCTGTGGAGGACCACATACTAAATATTTTTTTAGGCTTTGCGGGCCACGAGATCCCTTGCAACTGCTTGACTCTGCCATTTTAATGTGAAAGAAGTCGTAGATAGTATGTAAATGAGATGGTGTGGCTGTGTGCCAATTTCAATTTACTAAAGAAACAACAGGCTTTGGACTAGATTTGGCCCAGAGGCCATAGGTTGGTGACCCTATGCTAGGGAATGGGGATCCAATGGTATGCAAAACGGACCCACTCGATCGTTCAGTCTAGTGTGGGAGACAGATATGAACGAAATAATTATGCACTGTGTCAATTATGATAAGTATGGGAAAGGAGTAGGGATGGGAGTAGGGGTAACGCACTCTGGAGGATCAGCCAAAGTTTCTGAGGAAGTAGCTTCCAACAGAGATCAAGGTCAGACTTAGAACAGGTGAATGGGGGTGTGTGGAGGGGCATGTGTGAGATGCCCTCCATTGACATCACCCTCAAAGACTAAGGATGTCCTAAACACCTTAAATACCTCCATCGTTACCCTTCACTGAGTCTATGGAGAAATAATTGAGATTTGTATTCAGTCCTTTCCTAAAGTTGTTTTTAACTTCGGCATGTCTTATGTATTGTGAGAACAGCAGAACTGTTAAAAGCACAGACTATTGCCAGGCTCCTTGGCCCTACACAGTACTTGTGTAATCTTGGGCACGTTTCTTAACTTCTTCTTTTTTTTTTTTTTGTGGTACGCGGGCCTCTCACTGTTGTGGCCTCTCCCGCTGTGGAGCACAGGCTCCGGACGTGCAGGCTCAGCGGCCATGGCTCACGGGCCCAGCCGCTCCGCGGCACGTGGGATCCTCCCGGACCGGGGCACGAACCCGTGTCCCCTGCATCGGCAGGCGGACTCCCAACCACTGCGCCACCAGGGAAGCCCTCTTAACTTCTTTGTGCCGGAGTTTCCTCCATCTTTCAGATGAGGATGACAATGTTGGTAGTATCCACCTCATGGGGTAGTTATGAGGATTAAATGAGCCAATGTACGTAACCTACCTGGAATAGTGTCTGGCTCACAGTAAGTGTGAATATGTGTTAGCTCTTGCTATTGTGGTCGATTATGTGTTTGATACTCTTTGTAGGGTTCACTAGGGCTTCCTTTTCTTCCTGCTAACATTGCCCCCTTGCTACTCTGAGGAGTACCACTCCACTAAATTCTCTTATTTCAGGATTTAGTTAATTAGCCAATAAGACAATGACTAACATGTGTTGGGCACTTATGTTCCAGAGTTGGCGCTAAACCGTTTACGTACAAATCTCACTTAATTCTCAAATTCAAAGTTTTAATAGTCCATTTAAATTGAGGAAACTGAGGCTCAGAGAAGTTAAGTGATGAGACAGAATATGCAAATGGACAATGACCATAGCGTATATAAAAATAAAAGGCTGGGGGCTTCCCTGGTGGCGCAGTGGTTGAGAGTCCGCCTGCCGATGCAGGGGACACGGGTTCGTGCCCCGGTCCGGGAAGATCCCACATGCCGCGGAGCGGCTGGGCCCGTGAGCCGTGGCCGCTGAGCCTGCGCGTCCGGAGCCTGTGCTCCGCAACGGGAGAGGCCACAACAGTGAGAGGCCCGCATACCGCAAAAAAAAAAAAAAAAAGTCTGACCCACAACCTGCAGCAAATGCCTAGGAAACCACCTCCTTATCTACAATAACCAGCCCAGGAAGGCAGCCTGCTATGTCAGACTCACACGAAGTCAGATTGCTACCTCTGGTAACAGTCAAGGAAACCAAACACTGACCTCTGTAACAATCAGCCCCAAACGGCCAGGACCTGATTAGTAATTGACAGCTCCCCTAAGATTTGTCCCAGCTTCCAGCTTGGGACCAACGAAAGAAAGCCAAATATGCCCCTCTAGTCAATCGCATAGGATGCCCTTCTTCTAGTTAGCCTGCCTACAGTGTTCCTATGCCAACAGCCTCCAATCAGGGCACACCCAAAGCCTTTCCTTTTTCCACTATGAAACTTTCCCACTCCTCTGCCTGCCTTTGAGTGTCTGCCTAATCCTAAGTGACAGTGACTGACTCTTTTGTTGTAGCAAGCTCAGAATAAATAGCCTTTGCTTGCTCTTACTTGGTTGATCTTCATTTTGTCACACTGACACCCTAAGGGTCACAAAGCTAATAAGTGGCAGAGCTAGGATTCACACCCTGGTCTATCAGTCTGCAGAGTCCCAAGTCCTTAACTTCTATGCTATACTGTCTTCCCACACTTGCTTTTGGGATGTTCTTGAATTAAACTTTTTGATGGCATCCTCTTCACCTTTTCCCACTGAAAAGAGGTAATCTGTTTAGGATTCCCTTATGCAACAGCCCCTGCCTCCAAGAAAATTGGAGGTTCCCTCTCTGTACCTTCTCTAGCTCACTGCGCGGTTGGAGGTGCAACCTACATATAATAATTACAGGGCTGACAGCACCCAGTGTAATACGTGGTTTTTTCTCAGGGCTGGCGCTATGAGTAGGTAGTGTAATCAAGACAAAGATATAATAGTTGTTGAGTTCTTCTGATGTACCAAGCACTGTGCTAAATACTTTATATACATTAATTATCTCATTTAATCCTCAGAACAGCTCTAGCAAGCAAATAATGCTATAATGCCCATGGTGGGGATGATGAATCAGAAGCAGAGAGAGCTCCAGCAGTATTACTGTGACTTCAGGGGATGGAGAAAACTTCTTCGCTCCCCATAACACTTCTGGGTAGCTCCTAACTGACTTCCCGTTATTAATAACCATTGGTTTTATCAAAATGCAAATCTCCCTGGAAGAGGTAATACAGTCAGCCTTCCCAACCCTTTACACTTTACTTGGAATGAACATATCACAGTCCCAGTTCTGATTTCTGACAGCTGGCTTTGACAGGCAGAAAAATGGAGAGGGCAAGGACGTACTCAGTGAGGTGGGACTTTGGGACATTTACTATCATATAATGCAATCAAGGGCCAGAGAGCTGGTCCTAGCTTCTGTTTCATTTCTGCTACCCTTCCTGACTAAGAACACCATCAGAACTTCCCATTCCTGTTCTCCAAGCTTTCTTTAAGCTCTGGACCAGACCATTCCTTCCCTTTGATATCTTTTTCTGCTTCATGAAAATCAGGTTATAAAACCTTTCCCTTAAAGCTCCTTTATATCATCACTTCCTCCAAGCAGCCTCCTTTGATTAAGATTAGATCTGTTTTCCTGAGGAACCAGAGCAAACTATTGACAAAGTTTCCAGTTCAGCCTGACCATTCTGTGTTTATTATCCAAAGACCACTGCCTGTTCCAATCTGTGTATTAACGAACTTTCACAAAGCCCACAAGCTGATTGGATAGACCTGATTTTTAAAAAATAAATTTATTTGTTTTATTTATTTACTTTCGGCTGCATTGGGTCTTCATTGCTGTGCGCAGGCCCTCTCCAGCTGTAGCGAGCAGGAGCCACTCCCCGTTGCAGGTCACGGGCCTCTCACTGCCCTGGCCTCTCTTGCTGCGGAGCACGGGCTCTAGGCACGCGGGCTTCAGCAGTTGCAGCACGCGGGCTCAGTCGTTGTGGCTTGTGGGCTCTAGAGTGCAGGCGCAGCAGTTGTGGCGAACGGGCTTAGTTGTTCCGCGGCACGTGGGATCCTCCCAGACCAGGGCTCGAACCCGTGTCCCCTGCATTGGCAGGCGGATTCTCAACCACTGCGCCACCAGGGAAGCCCCCTGATTTTTTTTTTTTTGAAATTGATTTACAATGTTGTATTAGTTTCTGGTGTACAGCAAAGTGATTCAGTTATACATACATACATATTTTTTCATATTCTTTTCCATTATGGCTTATTACAAGATATTGTATATAGTTCCCTGTGCTATACAGTAGGTCCTTGCTGTTTATCCATTTTATATATAGTAGTTTGTATTTGCTAATCCCAAACTCCTAGTTTATCCCTCCCCAACCTTCCCCGTTGGTAACCATAAGTTTGTTTTCTATGTCTGTGAGTCTGTTTCTGTTTTGTAAATAAGTTCATTTGTGTCATATTTTAGATTCCACATATAAGTGATATCATATGGTATTTGTGGATAGAACTGGTTTTAATATAATCTGGTTGTCCCATGTAGTCAGAGTGTAAATCACCACCTTGTCTTCAGCCCTCAGTCCATTCCGTCTCCATTCCTCTTTTTAGGAAGTTTCCAAATTGGTGATTCAGAGAAATCGGCTATCACCCACTCAGAGCAATGGAAAGAAGAGAGAAAAACTGACAAATCAATATTCTGTGTCCACTATTAGCTAAGCTTTTGATCTATGGTCCAGAAATCATGCCTGAATTGGTGTTTTCTTAATAGCTGCCTTCCCCGTGTTGCTGCCTAAACTAGCTGAGGGAGACAGAGAGAGAAAGAGAGAGAGACAGAGACAGAGACAGAGACAGAGAGACAGAGAGAGATGGAGAGAGAGAGAGAGAGAGAGGAGGCCAGAAAGAGAGGAAAGCGAAGAGAAGAGATGTCTAAAGAAAGTCTGCCTGTATGTCCCATTCTGCACCATCCTTAGCCCAAACCCCATCCCCTAAGTGAGAATGGGACTAGACAGTTGAAGGAGGCTCTGCGTTGGAAGGGAGCAGGTGGTTGGTTCTCCCAGTTCAGCCTGAGATTTAGGGACATTCTTGTAGACCACATGCCCTCTGTTACATGTGCATAAGAACACCGTTTCCAACAATGCTTTCTCACCTTGACTTTAACCTCCACCCACACAAATATACACGCAGACTTCCACAGTTCTCGGGCTCTGTGTACCAAGTAGAGGTGGCTGAGCCTAGGAAGAGCATTTAAGTCTGCTTGTCCACATTCCTGCCCCTTGTGCCCAGCCAGTACTGGCTTCCCTTCAGCAGTGTGTGTGTGCGCGTGCGTGTTGGTGTGTGTGTACCGGGGTGGTCGGTGGAGGAAAGGCAGGAGAAGAGAAGAGGAGGAGGAAGGAGGAAGCATCCCCCACTGGTTTAGGACCAGCTCCAAGAGTGGTCTAAGCCAGGGCTCTGCAAACGTTTTCTATACGTGACCAGATAGTAAATATTTTCGGTTTTGTGAGCCATAGAGCTTCTGTCAGCTCTCCAACTCTGCCATTGTAACGTGAGCGCAGCCATAGACAACATGTAAATGAATGAACAAGGATATGTTCCAATAAAACTTTACTTATAAAAACAGGTGGTGAGCTGCATTTGGCCTTTGGGCTGTAGTTTGCAGACTCCTGATCTAAACTAATGCGAACGCTGGAGATCATGAATGGACAACCATTGCCTAAGCCTCTGTTGAGTTGAGTGTCTTGCAGTTTCACAGGTCAACACCTCTGGTTACTATCCAGACACGGAAGTGGAAATCACGCTGGAGACGGATGCAGGGGATTAGGCCTAGTGTGGCCTGACCTCGAGACATATTCTGGTAGTGCTGTTTTATTTATTTATTTAGTTTTAATTTTTTTTGCGGGGGGGCTGTGCCTCCTGGCTTGCAGGATCTTAGTTCCCCCACCAGGGGTTGAATCCGGGCCCTCGACGGTGAAAGCACAGAGTCCTAACCCCTGGACCGCCAGGGAATTCCCTGGTAGTGCTGTTTTATTTTTATTTAATTTAATTTTTATTTATTTATTTATTTTTGGCTGTGTTGGGTCTTCGTTGCTGCACACCGGCTTTCTCTAGTTGCAGCGAGCGGGGGCTACTCTTCGTTGTGCTGCGCAGACTTCTCATTGCGGTGGCTTCTCTTGTTGTGGAGCACGGGCTCTAGGCACGCAGGCTTCAGTAGCTGTGGCACACGGGCTCAGTAGATGTGGCACACGGGCTTAGTTGCTCCGCGGCACGTGGGATCTTCCCGGACCAGAGCTCGAACCCGTAACCCCTGCATTGGCAGGCAGACTTTTAACCACTGGGCCACCAGGGAAGTCCCGGTAGTGCTGTCTTAAAACAGGAATCCCGATAGGAGCTTACTTTCTTTCTATTTCTTCTACTTCCTGAAAGTGTAATGTGTTTTTTGTTTGGGGAGGGGAGTAGAAGAAAGGAGGATGATGGGGAGGTTTTCAGTGACTTGAGGGTCTGATGAACTGGATTCCACTTAACTGAGGTCTGTCTGCCTCCCAATTAGCAGCAGCGCAAGCTTGCTCTCCAGTCAGGGCTTAGCACTACCAGGGCCGGTGGACTTGCCCATCCGTGTTCGAGTTTCACAAGTGGCTTGATCATAACTCTTGCAGGCCTAGAATATCCCTGGATCTCCATGCCCCTGGGTGGACTCTGTGACATGCTGGCAGTGCACTGTGCCCCAGAAGGTTTGAATGTGCTCAAGACCTGGTATGGCAAATAAGCCGTGCCAGCTGATTGGTAGGTAGCTGCTGTCTTTTGAGGGGGATTTTGAGGCTACATCTGCAGAAAATGGGAAGGTGAGTCTGCTTGATTAATGAGGGCTGCTGTGGGCATGGGAGGAGCAAGGGGAAACATAAGGGCACCAGCTCTGCTGCAGGTCTGGAGAACTGAAAACGGTATCTAGATATGCAGACTATTTGCTGAGTCCTATCTGTTAGTGCCTGGCTGGCTGGTGAGAAACAGTCCTTCAAACATCTGAGTGAATCAAGTGGCTCATTGGGAAGATGGCCCGGTTAAGGCCTACATTTGTGGCCATTATCACCCACCATGCTGTCATCTCCTGTAGTATAGTCTAGAGCACATGCCTGCTCAGGGTGTCCTGTGAGGAGGGTTGGTTCCCTTTACTGTGGACCATCTGTATTCATTGTGCCGGCACTGAAGGGTGCAGACAGAGATGGGGAAGAGAGAGTCTTAATCACTAAGGTTAAGACTGATATGCAAATTAGCATCTAAACCATAAAGCAGATTGAAATACATCCTAGAAGAACAGATTAAGGAAAATGCTGTTGGAGCACAGAGGAATGAAATGAGCTTTAACCCATAGGAGATGGGATTGGGGCCTCAGAGACAGAGGGCATGGAAGTCCCTTTGGAGGAGTTAGCCTATGAACCAGGCCTTGAAGCTGAAGTCAATTTTAAGGTGTGGAGAAGATGTTGAGGAACTGCTTTCTTAAAGGTCTCCCGTCTGTGGTCCAGTGGTTCTCAATCTTATTTACACCCCAGCCTCCCTGAGGAATATGATGTGTCCCATCCACTCACCTGTCGAAATTTTCGAGCACCTCCAGCATGCCGGGTTGTGAGCCAGAGGCTGTGGTGGTGTGGCTTAGCCCCCCTCCTAAGGGACCATGCTTCTCAGTGGGAGAATCGCCACTCCAGTCTCCTATTCTGCCAACCCACCCTTCCCACTGCAACCACAGTCTGCCTGCTTGCTTTAGTTTCAATTTTTTTAGCATTTTATTTATTTTTAATAAGAAATACATGCAAATGATCCAAAAAATGCAAAAGAGTATAAATAAAAAGGAAGTTTTTTCCCCCCAAACCCTGTCTTGTCTAACCACTGTTAACTGTTCCTTATGTACTCTGCAGGAGAGAGTCCAGATAAACACAAGCAAATAGGCAAAGACTTTTACAAATGGCAGCATATCATACACATTGTTCAGCATCTTACTTTTTTCACAGAACTATGCATCTTGAAGATGCTTTCCATAAGCACATAAACGACTAGCCATTTTATAGCTGCATACTATTCCTTTGTATCGATTGCTGTGAATTATTTAACCCACCTCCTATTGACAGATATTTAGGTTTTCTGCAACCTTTTTTTTTTTTTCACGATCTTTTGCTAATGAATGATTTTTACACATGTGGGAGTATGTTTGTAAGATAAATTCTTAAAAGTGGAATGGCTCTATCAAATGCTGTGGGCATCTGTAACTTTTATACATATCACCAAATTGCCCTCCATAGAGATATTGCAATCTACACACTCACCAGCACAGTGTATTGTCACACTTTTTCATATCCCTCAATCTGGTAGATGAAAAATGAGATCTCATTGCAATATTAAATTGCATTTCTCTTATTATAGCGACATTGGGAAACTTTTCATATGTTTAAGAGCCATTTGTGTTTCCTTTTCTGTAAACTGTTCACATCCATTGCCCATTTTTCTATTTGCTTAGTGGTCTTTTCTTTTCTTTTTAAATTATATTTTATTGAAATATAGTTGATGTACAATATTACATAAGTTACAGTTACAATATTACATATGTACAATTTTTTTTAATTTATTTCAATTTCCTATAACATTATATTTATTCTTTTTATACAGCATGTTCTTATTAGTTACCTACTTTATACATATTAGTGTATATATGTCAATCCCAGTCTCCCAATTCATCCCACCATCAACCCCCCCACCCCACTTTCCCCACCTGGCGTCCACACGTCTCTTCACCACATCTGTGTCTCCAGCTCTGCCCTGCAAACTGGTTCACCTGCACCATTTTTCTAGATTCCACATACATGCGTTAATACGATATTTGTTTTTCCCTTTCTGACTTACTTCACTCTGTATGACAGTCTCTAAGACCATCCACGTCTCTACAAATGACCCAATTTCTTTCCTTTTTATGGCTGAGTAGTATTCCATTGTATATATGTACCACATCTTCTTTATCCATTCGTCTGTCGATGGGCATTTAGGTTGCTCCCATATCCTGGCTATTGTAAATAGTGCTGCAATGTACACTGGGGTGCATGTGTCGTTTTGAATTGTGGTTTTCTCTGGGTATATGCCCAGTAGTGGGACTGCTGGGTCATATGGTAGTTTTAGTTTTAGTTTTTTAAGGAATCTCCATACTGTTCTCCATAGTGGCTGTACCAATTTATATTCCCACCAACAGTGCAAGAGGGTTCCCTTTTCTCCACACCCTCTCCAGCACTTACTGTTTCTAGATATTTTGATGATGGCGATTCTAACCTGTGAGAGGTGATACCTCATAGTAGTTTTGATTTGCATTTCTCTAATGATTAGTGATGTTGAACATCCTTTCATGTGTTTGTTGGCAATCTGTGTATCTTCTTTGGAGAAATGTCTATTTAGGTCTTCTGCCCATTTTTGGATTGGGTTGTTTGTTTTTTTGATATTGAGCTGCATGAGCTGCTTGTAAATTTTGGAGATTAATGCTTTGTCAGTTGCTTCATTAGCAAATATTTTCTCCCATTCTGGGGGTTGTCTTTTCGTCTTGTTTATGGTTTCCTTTGCTGTGCAAAAGCTTTTAAGTTTCATTAGGTCTCATTTGTTTATTTTTGTTTTTAATTCCATTTCTCTAGGAGGTGGGTCAAAAAGAATCTTGCTGTGATTTATGTCATAGAGCGTTCTGCCTATGTTTTCCTCTAAGAGTTTGATAGTGTCTGGCCTTACATTTAGGTCTTTAATCCATTTTGAGTTTATTTTTGTGTATGGTGTTAGGGAGTGTTTTAGTTTCATTCTTTTACATGTAGCTGTCCACTTTTCCCAGCATCCCTTATTGAAGAGGCTATCTTTTCTCCATTGTATATTCTTGCCTCCTTTATCAAAAATAAGGTGACCATATGTGCATGGGTTTATCTCTGGGCTTTCTATCCTGTTCCATTGAACTATATTTCTGTTTTTGTGCCAGTACCATACTGTCTTGATTACTGTAGCTTTGTAGTATAGTCTGAAGTCCAGGAGCCTAATTCCTCCAGCTCCGTTTTTGTTTTTCAAGATTGCTTTGACTATTTGGGGTCTTTTGTGTCTCTGTGCAAATTTTAAGATTTTTTGTTCTAGCTCTGTAAAAAATGCCATTGGTGATTTGATAGGGGTTGCACTGAATATGTAGATTGCTTTGGGTAATAGAGTCATTTTCATAATATTGATTCTTCCAATCCAAGAATATGGTATATCTCTCCATCTGTTTGTGTTATCTTTGATTTCTTTCATCAGTGTCTTAGAGTTTTCTGATTATAGGTCTTTAACCTGCTTAGGTCAGTTTATTCCTAGGTATTTTATTCTTTTTGTTGCAATGGTGAATGGGATTGTTTCCTTAATTTCTCTTTCTGATCTTTCATTGTTAGTGTATAGGAATGCAAGAGACTTCTGTGCATTAATATTGTATCCTCGTACTTTACCAAATTCATTGATTAGCTCTAGTCACTTTCTGGTGACATCTTTACGGTTATCTATGTATAGTATCACGTCATCTTCAAACAGTGACAGTTTTACTTCTTTTCCAATTTGTATTCCTTTTATTTATTTTTCTTCTCGGATTGCCATGGCTAGGACTTCCAAATCTATGTTAAATAATAGTGGCGAGGATGGACATCCTTGTCTTGTTCCTGATCTTAGAGGAAATGCTTTCAGTTTTTTGCCATTGCGAATCATGTTTTCTGTGGGTTTGTTGTATATGGCCTTTATTATGTTGAGGTAGGTTCTCTCTATACCCACTTTCTGCAGAGTTATTATAATAAATGGGTGTTGAATTCTGTCCAAAGCTTTTTCTGCATCTATTGAGATGATCATATGGTTTTTGTTCTTCAATTTGTTGATATGGTGTATCACATTGATTGATTTGTGTATATTGAAGAATCCTTGCATCCCTGGAATAAATCCCACTTGATCACAGTGTATGATCCTTTTAATGTGTTGTTGGATTCTGTTTCCTAGTATTTTGTTGAGAACTTTTGCATCTATATTCATCAGTGATATCGGTCTGCAATTTTCTTTTTTTGTAGTATCTTTGTCTGGTTTTGGTATCAGGGTGCTGGTGGCCTCATAGAATGAGTTGGGAGTGTTCCTTCTTCTGCCATATTTTGGAAGAGTTTGAGAAGGATGGGTGTTAGCTCTTCTTTTAATGTTTGATAGAATTCACCTGTGAAGCCATCTGGTCCTGGGCTTTTGTTGGAAGATTTTTAATTCCAGTTTCCATTTCATTACTTATGATTGGTCTGTTCATATTTTCTATTTCTTCCTGGTTCATTCTTGGAAGGTTATACCTTTCTAAGAATTTGTCCTTTTCTACCAGGTTGTCCATTTTATTGGCATAGAGTTGCTTGTAGTACTCTCTTATAATGCTTTGCATTTCTGCCCTGTCCATTGTAACTTCTCCTTTTTCATTTCAATTTTATTGATTTGAATCCTCTCCCTCTTTTTTTTGATGAGTCTTGCTTAGGGTTTATCAATGTTGTTTATCTTCTCAGAGAACCAGCTTTTGGTTTTTTTGATCTTTGCTATTGTTTTCTTTGTTTCTATTTCATTTATTTCTGCTCTGATCTTTATGATTTCTCTCCTTCTACTAACTCTGGGTTTTGTTTGCTCTTCTTTCTCTAGTTCCTTTAGGTGTAAGGTAAGATAATTTATTTGAGATTTTTCTTGTTTCTTGAGGTAGGATTGTATTGCTATAAACTTCCCTCTTAGAACTGCTTTTGCTGAATCCCATAAGTTTTGGATCGTTGTGTTTTCATTGTCATTTGTCCCCTGGTATTTCCTGATTTACTCTTCGATTTCTTCAGTGATCTCTTGGTTATTTAATAGCGTATTGTTTAGCCTCCACGTGTTTGTGTTTTTTTTTTTTTTTTTTTTTTTTTTTTTTTTTTTGCGGTACGCGGGCCTCTCACTGTTGTGGCCTCTCCCGTTGCGGAGCACAGGGTCCGGACGCACAGGCTCAGCGGCCATGGCCCACAGGCCTAGCCGCTCTGTGGCATGTGGGATCTTCCCAGACCGGGGCACGAACCCGCATCCCCTGCATCAGCAGGCGGACTCTCAACCACTGCGCCACCAGGGAAGCCTGTGTTTGTGGGGGTTTTTTCCTGTAATTTATTTCTAATCTCATAGCATTGTGTTCAGAAAAGATGCTTGATATCATTTCAATTTTCTTAAATTTAATGAGGCTTGATCTGTGACCCAAGATGTGATCTATCTTGGAGAATGTTCCATGTGCACTTGAGAAGAAAGTGTAATCTGCTGTTGTCAGATGGAATGTCCTATAAATATCAATTAAATGTATCTGGTCTATTGTGTCATTTAAAGCTTGTGTTTCCTTATTAATTTTCTGTTGGGATGATCTGTCCATTGGTGTAAGTGAGGTGTTAAAGTCCCCCACTATTATTGTGTTACTGTCGATTTCTTCTTTTATAGCTGTTAGCATTTGCCTTATGTATTGAGGTGCTCCTATGTTGGGTGCATATATATATTTATAACTGTTATATCTTCTTCTTGGATTGATGCCTTGATCATTATGCAGTGTCCTTTCTTGTCTCTTGTAACATTCTTTGTTTTAAAATCTATTTTATCTGATATGAGTATTGCTACTCCAGCTTTCTTTTGATTTCCATTTGCATGGAATATCTTTTTCCATCCCCCACTTTCAGTCTGTATGTATCCCTAGGTCTGAAGTGGGTCTCTTGTAGACAGCATATATATGGGTCTTGTTTTTGTATCCATTCAGCAAGCCTGTTTCTTTTGCTTGGAGCATTTAATCCATTCACGTTTAAGGTAATTATTGATATGTATGTTCCTATTACCATTTTCTTAATTGTTATGGATTTGTTTTTGTAGGTCCTTTTCTTCTCTTGTGTTTCCCACTTAGAGAAGTTCCTTTGCATTTGTTGTAGAGCTGGTTTGGTGGTGCTGAGCTCTCTTAGCTTTTGCTTGTCTGTAAAGCTTTTGATTTTTCCATTGAATGAGATCCTTGTCAGGTAGAGTAATCTTGGTTGTAGGTTATTCCCTTTCATCACTTTAAATATATCGTGCCACTCCATTCTGGCTTGTAGAGTTTCTGCTGAGAAATCAGCTGTTAACCTTCTGGGAGTTCTCATGTATGTTATTTGTCATTTTTCCCTTGTTGCTTTGAATAATTTGTCTTTAATTTTTGTCAATTTGATTATTATGTGTATCGGTGTGTTTCTCCTCTGGTTTATCCTGCCTGGGACTCTCTGTGCTTCCTGGACTTGGGTGACTATTTCCTTTCCCATGTTAGGGAATTTTTTGAGTATTATCTCTTCCAATATTTTCTCGGGTACTTTCTCTCTCTCTTCTCCTTCTGAGACCCCTATAATGCAAATGCTGGTGCATTTAATGTTGTCCCAGAGGTCTCTTAGGCTGTCTTCATTTCTTTTCATTCTTTCTTCTTTATTCTGTTCCATGGTAGTGAATTCCACCCTTCTGTTTTCCAGGTCACTTATCCAGGTTCTTATTCCAGGTTCTTCTGCCTCAGTTCTTCTGCTACTGATTCCTTGTAGTGTATTTTTCATTTCAGTTATTGTATTGGTCATCTCTGTTTCTTTGTTCTTTAATTCTTCTAGGTGTTTGTTCTTTAATTCTTCTAGGTCTTTGTTAAACATTTAATGCATCTTCTTGATCTTTGTCTCCATTCGTTTTCTGAGATCCTGGATCATCTTCACTATCATTATTCTGAATTCTTTTTCTGGAAGGTTGCCTATCTATACTTCATTTAGTTGTTTTTCTGGGGTTTTATCTTGTTCCTTCATCTGGTACGTAGTCCTCTGCCTTCTCATTTTGTGTATCTTTCTGTGAATGTGTTTTTCAGTCCACAGGCTGCAGGATTGTAGTTCTTCTAGCTTCTGCTGTCTGCCCTCTGTTGGATGAGGCTATCTAAGAGGCTTGTGCAAGTTTTCTGATGGGAGGGACTGGTGGTGGGCAGAGCTCAGTAAAACTTTAGTCTGCTTGTCTGCTGATGGATGGGACTAATTTCCCTCCCTGTTGTTTGTTTGGCCTGAGGTGACCCAGCCCTGGAAGATACAGGCTCTTTGGTGGGGCTAATCGTGGACACTGTGAGGGCTCATGCCAAGGAGTACTTCCCAGACCTTCTGCTGCCAGTGTCCTTGTCCCTGCAGTGAGCCACAGCCACCCCCTCGCCTCTGCAGGAGACCCTCCAACACAAGCAGGTAGGTCTGGTTCAGTCTCCTATGGGGTCACTGCTCCTTCCCCTGGGTCCCGATGCACACACTACTTTGTGTGTTCCCTGCAAGTGTGGAATCTCTGTTTCTCCCAGTCCTGTCAAAGTCCTGCAATCAAATCCTGCTAGCCTTCAAAGTCTGATTCTCTGGGAATTCCTCCTCCCATTGCCAGACCCCGAGATTGGGAAGCCTGACGTGGGGCTCAGAACCTTCACCCCAGTGGGTGGACTTCTGTGGTATAATTGTTCTCCAGTTTGTGAGTCAGCCACCCAGCAGTTATGGGATTTGATTTTATTGTGATTGCGCCCCTCCTACCATCTCGTTGCAGCTTCTCCTTTGTCTTTGGATGTGGGGTATCTTTTTTGGTAAGTTCCAGTGTCTTCCTGTTGATGATTGTTCAGCAATTAGTTGTGATTCTGGTGTTCTCTCAAGAGGGAGTGAGTGCACGTCCTTCTACTCCACCATCTTGAGCCAATCTGTGTACAATATTATACACTGTCTTTTCTTTATTAATTTGCAACAGTTCTTTATATAGTAAGGAAATGAACTCTTTGGATGTAAATTGCAAATATTTTTTTCACAGGTTAAAGATCCTTCATTTTAGTTGTGATATGTATGATTTCTCCCATTTCTCAATCAGAACAGGTATAGCAAGGTGACTTTTTTTGAGGATCTTTTCCTGCTTCAATATTGTATACATTCTAGGGACATTTCTTCCCTCCTTGCCCTACCGCTTATATTCTGGATCCTATTGTTGCTATTCCTTGCTAAAATATTTCCTGGTTAGTGATTATCTGCCTTTTCAATTCAAGGAGACTTTCAGAATCTGATTAAAGCTCTGTACCCAACGCCCAGAAATACACTCACATTTAACACACCCACGAGTTTGCATTTACTTTCAGGGAGTTCACGGTCCTTCTGAAACATAGTGTTTCTTGAAGTGTTGCCTAAGGACAACCTGTATAGCAATCTCTTGAGAGCCTTGTTTAAAATACAGTCTTCTGCGTACCACTCTAGGGTGAAGGAATCAGATTCTTTGCAAGTGGATGGGGACATGGAATTTGCATGTAAACACATTCTGGTAATTTTGATGCACACTAAAGCATCCCACAGCCTAGGGACATCCATGGATCCTGGTTAAGAACCCCTGGTTGAAGTCTCAGTCCCCAACTAGAGTACAGTTGTCCCTCTGTATCCACAGTTTCTGCATCCACCTATTCAACCAAATGCAGATCGAAAATATTCGGGAAAAAAATTCCAGAAATTTCCAAAAATAAAAATCTGGATTTGCCATGCACTGGCAACTATTTAAACAGCATTTACATTGTATTGGGTATTATAAATAATCTAGAGAAGATTTGACGTATACAGGAGGATATGCGGAGGTTATATGCAATACTCTGCAATTTTATACAAGGGACTTGAGCATCTGCAGATTTTGCTGTCCACAGGAGTGCTGGAGCCAATCCCCCTCGGATACTGAGGGACGACTATATCTGAATTCTGATAGGAAAATTTGAAAGAGGAAAAATCCTCAAGATTCAAGACTCAAATGAAGCTCTAAAGGAGGAGTGACTGATGGGCAAAATGATACTTGTGTGCAGAGGTCTCTCATATTGTACCATGTGGTCAGTCAATTATAATAGCATCCCACTGTGTGTGTGTGTGTGTGTGTGTGTGTGTGTGTGTGTGTGTGTGGAGAGAGAGAGAGAGAGAGAGAGAGAGGAAGAATCACACCTGGAATTCTTTATCTTTTTTGATATGTAGATAAAGAATGACCTTTTCAATATTTCTCCCTCTTTTTCCCTCTCTCCTCCCCCTTCTCTCTCTTTCTCTTTTCTTTTATTAAAGTACCACCAGGGACTTCCCTGGTGGTCCGGTGGCTAAGACGCTGCACTCCCATTGCAGGGGGCCCAGGTTCCATCCCTGGTCAGGGAACTAGATCCCACATACCGCACCTAAGAGCCCGCATGATCCCGCCTGCTGCAATGAAGATCCCATGTGCCACACTAATACTCAGCACAGCCAAATAAATAAATAAATACTTTTTAAAAAAAGAATTAAAGTACAAACAAAGCACATCCTTACCCCAAGAGGAGAAGGTGCTGGTGAAGGGGGAAGTAAGTGCTTCCTGTACAAAGCAGGCTTTAGTAGAGGCCTGAGTCTTGCTGGAACAGGCCACGGGTAAGGGTGATTTGACTAGCATTTGACTTTTTCACAGAAGAGTGTGCTAAGAGGAAACAGTTACTTCGTTGTCACTGGGGGCCCCAGGGCCATTCTCCTGGTACTTTCTCCTCCTGTAGGCAGCCTCCCCCAGGGACCCAATGGCCTCCTTTGTTGATCAATGTCTGCTTCTTCCCAAGAAATATATATTATGTTCTGACTACTCTCTTAGAACAGTGTCTTTTAATTGTATGTGCCTCTATCTGGATGAAAGCACCAAATACACAATTTGCATAGAGTTCCGGGGGTCAGTGAAGTTCCTGAAGCCCATCCAAGAGCTCCCAAAGCACTACTTCCCAAACTCTAGCCCAGGACAGCTGAGAATCTGTGTTACTCGGGAGCTTGTTAGAAATCCCTGGGCCCACACCTCACTCCACACCTAGTGAACAAGAAAATCTGGGGCTTCTGCCTGGTCCAGCTCTCCAGGTGGTTCTGATACATACTAAAGTGTGGGACCCACTGAGTCAGAGGTAAGAAATCTGCCCGAGGATCCCTTCCTGTGTTGACTGGTGGGGGGTGCAGTCTTTCAGTTCCCATGGGAGTCTTCTCCGAGGGAAATCAGTGAGCCCAGGGGAATGCAAGGCACTGGGGGCCATCACAAGGACCTCACATGCGAATCTCCAAGAAATGAGGCGAACTCACCGATTTTGTTTTATTCCCAGATCAGGCTGTATCGGGGAGCATGCTGAGAGGCCAGGTCTCCTTGGGAGATGAGAACATGGAATAGTCCAGCCTAAGAGCTCTTCAATGATTCTCTTTATAGATACAGTCTATCTCAGCCCTCTCTACTGTAAACATGGGCTTGGAAATTGAGGTGGACAACCGCCTGCTGCTAAGTGAGGAGAAGAGGCTCAGGTGAACCAAAGCCCGGGTAATAACAGAGTGTCTGGCCATGGCAGTCTGCCTAGCTTCCGGCAGCCTGAGAGTGGGAGAGGGCGGGGGCAGGGAGGCACGCTCTCCCCAGCTCCACTGCCCAGGTGTAGCACCCCCAGCTCCCTCAATGCAGCTCAGAGAGAGGCTGCTCTCCGGGGAGCTGTCTGACTTTCCAGGGCAGCCTCCCTGCCCCAGCCCTCCCTGCTACCTTCCAGCTAATAAGAAGTCTTTGAGGAGCTGGGAAAGGCAGCCCTCCTGGAGGGCGGCACGTGCTCCTCCTGTCAGATGTCTGGAAGAACCACAGCACGGGGAGGGAGGGAGGGATGTGCAGGCTGCTTAGAACGCACACAGAAGATGGAAGATTCCACCGAACAGCCATTGCCGAGTCTTGCTGCAAGAGAAGTGTTACTGACTCCAAGCTCGCTCTGCTCGCCACACGACAGGCCAATAAATTGGAGATGAGGTGTTGAGGCAAGGAGTATGACTTTATTTGGAAAGCCGGCAGATGGAGAAGATGGCGGACTAGTGCCTTAAAAGAACCATCTTATCGGGGTCTAGATGCCAGTTTCTTTGATAGAATCAGAGAGGGAAGTAAAGTAAAAAGGCAAAATAGAGAGGGAGAGGCAGCGAGGAAGTAAAGTAAAAAGGGCAATCAGTCTTGCAAAACATCTGGAATGGCCAGCCTTGGTGAGGCCATGTGTTCATTTCAGCCATTTACAGGTGGGCAGGGTCAGATTGTCTCCCTGTAAGCTGAACGAAGGCACTTTAGTTCAACATTCAGGCAGAGGGGCAGGGTTCCCTGTATCAGGCCATTATGTACGATTATAATAACAAAAGCAATGAAGAGCAAAGGTTAAGGTCAAAGAAACAGATCCAACATGGATTCCCATTTAGCTCTTCCCTGTTACGGAAGCACATCGATGTTTGTTTCATGGAACAATGATGTACTTCCAGGTGGTCCCCTTTGGTGTGGGGTTTTGCTCTGCCATCCGGAACCCAACTCAGCTCTCAGTCCCAAGAAGAACCATTGGGTTCCAACGGAACCAACCAAGGATAAATAAGCGCAAAAGACTGATTCCCAAACTCGACCTCTGACTTATGAAGTATCAGTGACGGTTCTATCTGCAGCGGACATAAGTTCCCTGCTTAATGTGGTTTGGGTTGGGGGGCTAATTCCTCCCAGCTCCCAACTCTCAAAAGTCTCACAATGGGCTCTGCCGTTGTGTCTAAAATCTTCACCATCTGAGGTGCTTCTTTGCATTAGGGGGATGCATTCTCAACAGGAGTGATATCACCCCCTAGGGGAAAAAAAATTGGTTCTTGGGTGGGGGGAACACTGGTCCAGGGGAAAGGTAAAGAACTTCCAAGCCCAGGGCCAGATCTGGTTCTTGGCCTGCTGTTTCTCTGGTCATTGCTATAGGAAGCCAGAAAATAACGTTTTCCTAGGAGACTGCCCTAGCTGAGTCATTTGGAAGGAAGCAGTAGGTTGAAAGATGAAGAGCAGTTGAAGATTTGTGACTAATAACTTAATTGGAATTTCAAAGGCTGAAGCCTAAATCCTAAATTATTTTCAAAAAGCAGCTTATCTTGCTCACACTCACCTCAGAATTCTCAGAATTTATAGTGTCTCCTGACTCGAATTAGATGAGGGTGCTCTAAATCAGAGAAGGGCCCTGAATGATCTTTGTTGTGGGTCGGTGACGTCAGATGACAAAAGGCCTCCCCACCACTTGATTGAGGCATGGATCTCCTCACCGAATGTTCTTTACTCCTGA